CCACGATTGTAACTTTGTCTCTGTGGCACTATCCCAAATTATTTTTCGAATTTCAGTGGGAAGTGTACCCTCCTCTCCTTCCCTTATTACAGATTCTGCTACAGTTTGCATCCATAACTGGGCTTGTATGCAACTTAGAGCTACGGCGATATCACCTTATATACACCCAAATCACCTCAAACCCTGCCCATATCCCCCCAAACCCCCCACATCCACCCAAATCACCCTAAAACCCCCATATCCCAAACCCCCCATGATTTGCGGAGAAATCACTCTATAACTTTTGGGGTTATAAAGTGGGTATGTTTATTCAGCGCTGGGCGCATGGGGGATCACTCCACCACAAGCATGTGCATCATTTGCAGCTCCCGTCCGGCTTATATGTTACAAAATAGTGCATATTCATAGAACGCCTGTACATATACCCCCGCCTCCCCTCGTTTCTCATGGTAATCAGGTCTCCTCCCCTTGCGCCTGCGCGATGAGCTCTCCAAGCTCTGGGCTGGGGTCGCAACCTCTGGGGAGGGGTCGTAAAGATGAAGTACCTCTTCTTCCTCGCTGATGAACTTGTCACCCTATCGCTCTGCACAGCCTCAGTTGTTCTCTGGCTTTCTTCCAGGCCAGTTTATACTGGTGTTTTGGAGTAGTTTGTTCTTCAAAGACTAGGGGGGACTTCTCTTTGGGCGAGGAGTTAATCGCCTAGCAACGTTATCAGTACTTGGTATGTCTTTTTTGAACAGTCCCATACGCCTCCCCTTGTTTTTGCGCAGGTCTTGCACCAACAATCTAAGATTGTTTAGACTCCCCGTCTCATTCTCCCCTTTTCTTCTTACTTAGTAAATTATTTTATTACTTATTTATTTACTTCTTAATCTATTTCCCTTGTCCTATAATATGTTAGTACTATCCTACAAATTAGTTAGTTTATTGCTTAAAGCTCGGTTTGTGATATAAAGAGTCATACACAGCTTGCAAGCGTTTTGTAAGTCTCCAGATCCATACATATATAGCTACAGTAAGGATTAACAAGATTGCTACAGATATTAATAGAGCAACCACTGGGTGAAGGGCTGTGTTTAAGATTCCAGTAGTTGTCGGCGACCATCCAAAGAGCGTATCCCACCAATTATGTTTCCCTTCCTGCTCAACCATCTTTAAGACCTTTTTTGTCCTTTCCCATCATGAAAGGTTGTGAGTAAAGTTTGTTGCCCTTTTTCTTTCACTTCTTCCAGTATCCGGTGTAAGTCTGGGTGTTTTAATAGGCTTTCTATATGACTGACATTTAAGCCTATGGGGACAGGAAGTACCTTTACCCTGAGGCTGCTTTTCAAGAGGGAATTTGTAACCACCGGGGCAGAATAAGTGAAATCACGCCCCAGGATGATGGTGAAATTACAAATACAATAATTTAGATGCTGTATCAATTTCTTCTCTCGCCCATCTATGGTTATTGTGTCACACAGTGCCCTTAAACATGCACATCCCTTTCCGGTATAGACAACAATGGTCCTTAAATCTACGTTGGGGCGTGCTTCAAAGTGGCAAATCTTTTTGGTCAGTACCTAAGCAGGTATCCTGGGTTAGTAAGGTATTACTTTCACATATAAATCCCTGTTGT